CGTCTGCCTTCGGCTCAGGTCATGATCCCAGGGTCCTGGGATGGAGTCCTGCATCGGGCTCCTTGCTCAGCAGGGAGCCTGCTTCTCCCTCTGCCTGCCTCTCACTCACGCTCTCTCTCTCTCTGACAAATAAATAAATAAAACCTTTAAAAAAAACTTTATAATCACTGGTGGATTTTTTTTGAACTTGAAAAGTAAATAAATAAGAGACTAAGAAGAAACAAACAAAAAATATAAAATAAAATGGCAGAAATTAGACCAAATATATGAATATGAATGGATCAAATTTTCCTGTAACAACAACAACAAAAAACAGACCTCAAGTCTCCTTTTCTTCCAAAGTACTCATGTTGTAATGAAAAGAATGTGAGGTTGGGAATGAACCAGGACTGGCCATTTTACTCAACAATTTCTATCTGCCTAACTTCCCTGGAAACTGAGGGCCTGTGCCGGATACAGGCACACAATAAAAACAAAATAAATCATTTAGTAAGGAGAAAACACTCCTTGCAGGGCTCCTCAATAACCTCCCCAGATTTAACCATTATCGTTACCATTTGGGTCCAAGGTATTGCTGAGAGCTCAAATAGCTGCACCATGAGGCACCTCTCCCATCTTCCACTGCAGTCATTCCACTTAGTCTGATCATTACTTAGTTGCAATTTACCAATCATAGTCTGTGTTTTATGAGCACGTTAAGTTTTTGTTTAATAGTCACCATTTTTCCCACTCATGCAGATGTATATGATTGTTCTTTAATAGGTAATGGTCATATGGTTCCAAAATAAGAAGGTGTATTTTGAGAGGTCTTCCACACTTGTCCCTAGCCACTGCACTCTCCTCACTGCAACAAGAAACCACTTATTAGTGCAAACGCAAATATATGTAATCTTATTTCCCCCATTTTCTCCATTAAAGATAACATAGTACGTCCTCCCGTTGACAACTTGCTTTTTTCACTTAACAAATCCTAGAGATCTTTCCATCTAATACTTCTTCCATATAATAGTCTTTCTATATAATCTTTCCATACAATACTTCCTCATTTATTTTAAACTGCCAGGGTTCTTGGGCGCTTGGGTGGCTCAGTCAGTTAAGCATCTACCTTCGGCTCGGGTCATGATCCCAGGGTCCTGGGATCGAGCCCCACATCGGGCTCTCTGCTCAGCGGGGAGTCTGCTTCTCCCTCTCCCTTGGCCTGCCACTCCCCCTGCTTGTGCTCGCTCTCTCTCTCTCTGTCAAATAAATAAAATCTTTATAAACTGCCAATGTTCTTTTGTATGCATATACTCTACTTCATTCAACCAGCTCATTATTGTCTTTTTCATCACGATCAATATTTTATCATCTGGTATTTGATGTTCTTAAATAGGAAATAACTAATTTTGTTCATTTTTTTGTGTTACTTGAAAAAAATGATTATTTGCTTTTGGTATTCACATAACCAAAGTCTGATTCTTGTTGATTTTTTTATGATTATATAAAGTATGTGTATTGAACTTTTTTTCACCAAGCCCACATAGGCAGGGCCACCATTCACAGAGAGTATGGGGTCACTGGGTTGCACAAGTCTTGTCTAGCCTATGATGTCATTTTCTATGTGGACTATAGCAAGATAAAGGCAGGAAGCACAGAACCAGACCAGCCCTAATGCCCTTGCCTTCCCTCTTATATGGGAGAGTCATGTATCACATTTGTCTTCTCTCTCTAGGCTGTAAGCATAGTGGAAAGAGGAGGAGGAATTGAGTTAGGAAAACTGAGACATTCTAGTGCCCGGCACACAGTAAGTACCAAATAGCTATGCCCAGTTATGCTGGGCCCTTGGGACAAAAAGATAAACCAGATGTGGGTGAGAAGTTAACTGCAGTGGAGGAGACAGACCCAGTCATACAGTATCAACAGCCCCAGTTCTTAGGGGTACAGACCATGGAAACCAAGGGAGAAGCTTAATGGGAGAGATTCCGAGAGGAAGTAATGTGTAAATTGAAATCTGAAAAATGAGCAAGAGTTATCCAGTTGAAGAATGAGGGAGAAGGGAAGAAAAGCATCTCGAAGGCAAAAAGAAGAGCAATTTGTCCCCATTGTCTGGTATTTACTGCTATTCACCTCAGATCAAGTCATTTAACTTTGCTGAGTCTCAGTTTCCTCAACTGTAAAATGGGAATGGGGGATAAGGGGAATATCACCTCCAAGGAAGTTGGGAAGACAACGATACCATACGTAGAAGACAGACTAAATGATCTGGTACCTATTGAGCAATTTTTTGAGGGTTTTTTTTTTATTATTATTTTAGTATAGTTGACACAATGTTACACTAGTTTCAGGTGTACAATATAGTGATTCCACAAGACAAGCCTAAGTCTATGCATGATGCTCTGCTCACCATAAGCATAGCTACCATCTGTCACCATACAATGCTACAATACCACTGACTCTATTTCCTATACTGTATATTTTAATCCCAAGACTTATTCATTCCATAACTGAAAGCCTGTATCTCACTCCCCTTCACCCATTTTGCCCCATCCCCTCATGCCATACTGAGCAATTTTTAAAAATAGAACTACCCTATGATCCTGTGATCACACTACTGGGTATTTACCCAAAAAAATACAAAAACACAAATTCAAAGGGATACATGCACCCCAATATTTATAGCAGCACTATCTACAATAACCACATTATGGAAACAGCCCAAGCTCAGGTAGCTAGCTGCACCACGAGGCACCTCCCCCACCTCCCCCATCGACTGAGGGATGGATAAAGATGTGGTGTATATATCCAACAGAATATTACTCAACCACAAAAAAGAATGAAATGTTGCCATTTGCAATGACACGGATGGAGCTAGAGTTTAACACTAAGCAAAATAAGTCAGAGAAACAAATACCATATGATTTCATTCATATGTGGAATTTTAAGAAACAAAACAAATAAGCAAAGTTAAAAAAGAGAGAGAGAGCCAAACCAAGAAACAGACTCTTCACTATAGAGAACAAACTGATGGTTACCAGAGGGGAGGTGGGGGGGATGGGGGAATAGGTGATGGGGATTAAGGAGTGCACTTGTAATGAGCACTGGGTGATGTATGGAAGTGCTGAATCACTATACTGTACACCTAAAACTAATATAACATTGTATGTTAACTACATTGGAATTAAAAATTTTTAATAAAGAAATAATTTTTAAAAAGTTGCCATGAACTACTACAAATATTCATTAAAGCTTAGCATTGGGAGGGGTGGTAAAAGAAACTCACTGTGTCTGTGTTTCATCATGATGACTAGCTTGAAAGCAGGTAGGTTCAAATCTGCAGTCTTCCTTCCTGTCAGAATGGAAGAACCAATGTGAAGACAGAGGGGGGAACCACAATGCCAGAAGCCCCCTTCCAAGCCCCCTACAGGCAAAATGAAATGTGCAAAGAACTTGATAAGGAAGCCCTAACAATTGGAGGAACTAGGAGAAGAGGCTATAATGGAGTTGGGGCCTGGTGTAGCTATCTACACAGGGAAAGCAGCATCACGCTACCCAAAAGGAAGCCAAGTCTAAATCTCTCTTCCTGGGTGGAGTCAGTGCCTCAATGCGTCAGATGAAGCCCTTGGTCCTCAATCCTCCACCCTGTAGTGTTATATACCCTAGTACTAAACCTCTCTAGGCTGAGGGAATGGGGTATACAAGGATGGCCTGTTTCTACATATTAATAGTACCTCTTTTCCCAAGTAGGGGGTTCTACATCGGATCTACCCTGGAAGTAGGGGAAAAGACAGATACCAGGAGTCTACCCTAGGGAAAAGGGATCTCAGAACAACGCTTTTAACTGTGTTTACTAAACTGAGGCTAGGAGTCAGTGCAAAATCTTGCTGGGGCAGGGGTGGGGGGAATGTATGCCTGCATGTGTGATTGGGGTCTGTTCCTTGGTGAACCCGGGTAAGGAGATGCCTTCTGTTGCTCTACTCTGGGGTGTAGAGGGACTGGGAAAACCAGCACAGTGGCTGTGTGCATCTCTGCCACATGGGAGAGAAGCGCAGGTCTGTACATCTCTAAGTTGGCGAGGAGGAATCCTGGGTCTCTGTACCCTGGGGAGGGCTGGGGTGAGGGGAAGATGATATGCCGGTCTCCACTAAAGGTGGTATTAGTTGACACACTAACAAAGTGGGGGGGGGAGGGTATATGCAGTCTTGCATGAATGGGGTCTGCACCTTGCCTGTTGTGGGCTATTCTGGACCCTTCCACGGGGGTGGGATGGGGAACAATCTGTTTTTCTTTTATATGGGTTGAAGTCAGCAGTGTGCTAACACTGAAGGGAATAGGACCTCTGGTTCTCCACATGGGGTGGGGGGTAGATACACAACTATAAATTCAGTGGATCAGCCCTTACACTTTGCAGGGAGGGGGGCAGTTATCCTGAATGGAGAGAAAGAGATTTGAGCTCTTCTACCTTGGGTAAGGGGGGAGCCCACATGCACAAAATGTAGGGTGATCAGTGATGTCACTGTCTCTCAACACTGCAGGGAGAGGGAGCTGCACCTCTCTGCTCCCTTGATTACGGGTGGGGGTGTCTCTCTTTTGCTACATTTGGTGATTCCAAATCTTTGGGGAAGGAGGAGGGGAGGGATGATCTCTGTTTACCTCAAAAGGAGAACAAACCTGAGTCCCTCTACCGCAGCTGCCCAATTAGGGGCAGATCTGACAATATTCCCAGGTTACGGTCTGTTTCTCTTTGCTGCAGGGCATTTTTGGAGCCGGGCCTTTACAAATTCAGTAAACCAGTGCCTTCTTATGGGGTGGGGTGAGGAGTCAGGTCTGATTTTCCACAACGGGGACTCACTCTAGGCAAGAGGAGGAAAATCTGCGTGGTTCTCTATGGGCTGAGGCAGGTGCCAACCACTTGGAAGAGGGGTGATCTAACATCTCTGCAGTAGCGGGGGCGGGGCTTCCACAATTAGTAACACGGGGGCGAGGCAAGGAAGTCTCCAGCTCTTCCGTCTCTGTATATTAAACGTTTCTAAGCTCCTCAGTACTGGCGGTCCGGCCGGAGTAGGCGGTATTGTATGTCTGTGGAGGAGGTAATACATCAAAGCCTCTGTCCAAAGAGAAGAGATGCGCCGAGGCGGATCTGTGTGCCTCCGCACCAGTAAAGGTCCGCGCCGCTCAGCCGGGGGAGTGGGGGACGGGGAGGGCGGTATGTCTCTATAACCAAGGGCTCGATGTCGCCACACAGAGACGCCTGTCTATACTGGAGGAGTGCAGAATGGAGCCTTGCTATCCTGAAGGCAAGAGGGCACTCGATGCTTCTCCACACAAGTGGGGTCTGTGACTTTCTACATATTGTGACCAGAGGTCTACACCTGCCTAGATGGGGTGGGGCCGTGCTCCTTTACCCAGCGAGAGTGCATTTAGGCACGTGCCCATTTGCGGAGCGATCCCTGTTCCTCATCTGGGCCCTTCTACCGTGGATGACAGCCGGTTCTCTCTCTCTCTCCATTCCAGGGTGGAGGACACCTCTAGTTTCCAACTCAAATACACGATCCTTACCGCGCGGCTGGCTGGGTGAGCGCTCACAACGAGAAAAGAGGAGAGTCGTCTCTTACCTCCACTTCCGGCGGGGATCAGACAGAAGAGAATGGCACTACGATAGGGTTGGTCTGCAAACTGCGCTCGCGCCGCTAGGCTCCGACTTCCGGATCCCAGCCTTGCGGCCCTGGTTGGCCCGCCTTACGTCCCCCCCCCGAGGGGCGGGGCCTCGGATTGACGGCTCGCGCCCGCCATCCTTACTCCGCAGGCGCAGTGGTCCCGCCTCCCCCGCTGCCCTGTGAGGTGAGGAAGAAGCCGAGAGGGGGTAGGTTGGTAGCGGCGGGTCGCCATATACCTACTTGTAAGCCAAGATTTTGCCTGCCGGCCTCTACCTGGACCCGAATATGCGTGTTCCCGAATCATAGTGACCAAGCAATCACCATGATCGCAGGTGGGGGTCAGTCCCTTTGTCTACAAAGGAAGATGGCGACGGGCAGGGTGTGGGAAAATGGCCGCCTGGGTCACATGTCTTGCCGAGTGCTCCCCACCTAAAAGTGACTTGGTTAGCTGTTCCCAACAACCTTCCTGGCTTGTAAGGCCCCAGACAAACCCTGAAGCAGGTACTCCCAGCTCTTTATGCAGAAGTTCAAATCCATGGTCAGGCCCAGGAGCTGAACAACTGGAAGTCTCTCCCACCCTTTTGTCCTCTTCCCCTCCTCCTCCCTCCTTCTCTTTGGCTCCAGAGCGGCAAATGAAGGGAATGAATATATACCTCTGAAGTGGGAACAAATAAGGATTTCTTTAGAAACCATCTTGAGGAGCTCCTGACATGGTTGGAGAATGAGGTCTCCCCTTAAAAACAGTAAATATTAGTCTGAAAATGTCTTCTTTATGATAATTTAATTCCAGCCCCTTCTCTTCTTCAAACCTAAACTTCGGGGTAGGGCCCAGCCCCTCTACCCCTAGGGTATGTTCCTCCACTTCCAGAATATCCAAGCGGAAATCTCTGCCTACTTCTACCCCTTACATACACACTACTCACTGCCCCTACATTGATGAAAGGGGTCTAACCTCTCACCCTGGAGATAAACAAAACTCCTGGGGACTCCAAACCAGCCCTAACCACCTTCCCCCTTACCCCTGCATTAGCAAATTCTTCCTGTTTCTTTAAGACCTAACTTTTGTCACTTCTATGAACTTTCCCAGCTGAGTTAGAAACTCAGAACACCTTTCTGCACTTATCCCTTAATGCTGTAATCATTTATGTGGATGCCTCTCCACATAAATGGAGATGCAGTCTCACCTCCTGAGACTAGGGACCATATATCTTGAAGACCTCAACAAGACCCAGCACAAGACTGGTACAAATCAGGCTTCAGCCAATATATGTGAAATGTGTGAGTTTATAGGCCTGCACCACAATGCAGTGGTGCAGGCCTATAAACTCACTCCAATGGGAAATGGACAATTTAGTAGATAGCATTGGGAAATTTGGCTCACCATAAGGAGAGAAATAAAACTGGATCCCTACTTATTTACATATAAGATGGTGGAGAGTATCTTTGTCACCTACAACTGCGGAAAGATTTTTTCAACAAAGGCCCAAATGCGCAAACTATAAGGGAAAAACGCAATGAAATCTTTGATAAGAAAGAAAATTGGTGTTTCTACTTTGGAAAACAATTAGGAAGTTATCCAGAATAGTTGAAGGTGGGCCCTGGGACCCCGCAGTTCTACTGGTAAAGATGTATATAACCTCCAGACTTTTAAGTCCTAGAGAAATTCTTATATATATGCATAAGGAGGCATGTGCAAGAATATAACATTGCATGACTGTTTATAATAGAGAAAAAATCTGAACAATCTAAAAGTTCACCAACAGGAGAATGAATAAATAGCAGTACAGCCATACAACAGAATACTATACAGCAGCGGAAGAAATGAAATTGAGTTGCATATATCAACCCAGATAAATTTCAAAAACACAGTGCTGAGATAAAATATAAGTTATAGAAGGGTATATGAAATATGAGACATTTAGGTAGATTTTTAAAAAATTTTTAAGTAATCTCTACACCCAAGATAGGGCTTGAACTCATATGACCCCGAGATCAAGAGTCAGGTGCTCTACTGGCTTTGCCAGCTAGGCGCCCCTATATAGACTTTTTAAATCTAGAAAATAATGCACTAAATTACTTACAGGTTATATAAATAAATAAACAGTATTTTTAAAACAGGGAATTAAATAGAAAATGCAGAATGGTAATTAGTTCTGGGGAAGAAAACAAAGGAACAGAATGAGAGATACACAGGGGACTTCAACTGTTTGTCTAATACTTTATCTGGGTAGTAGGTACATGGATGTGAGTTATATTATTCTCTATACTTATTTGTATGCCGCAAATATTTCATACTTTTTTTTAGAAAGACTACAAGGATCTATAAAAAAAACTAATGATGGTTAAATGTAGATCAGTGGTTCTCAAACTTTGGCCAGCATCAGAGTCAGTGGGAGGGCTTGTCAGAAGACTGATTGCTGGGCCCTATGCCCAGAGTTGTGTTTCAGTAAGTCTGGTAGGGCCCAAGAATTTGAATTTCTTTTTTTTTTTTTTTTTAAAGATTTTATTTATTTATTCATGAGAGACAGAGAGAGACAGAGGCAGAGCGAGAAGCAGGCTCCCCGCGGAGCAGGGAGCCCGATGCAGGACTCGATCCCAGGACCCTGGGATCATGACCTGAGCCGAACGCAGACGCTCAACCGACTGAGCCACCCAGGCGTCCCAAGAATTTGAATTTCTAACAAGTTTCCAAGCGATGATGATGATGATGATGATGATGATGATGATGATGATGATGGAGAAGAAGGGGGAGGGGGAGAAGAATCATCTGGGGCTGCTGCTAGTCCAGGTACCATATTTTGAGACCTACTGGCAAAGAATATGAGATTCTCAGTTAATTTTGTTGTCTTCATTGTGCTTTTCCGTGTTTTCCACATAGTCAATGAATATGAATTACTTTACAGAGAGGTTTTTGTTGTTTGTTTTAAATTCACCTTAATCTTTACTTCAAACTCTTATTTCCCTCATAGGCATCCATTCTATGGTATTTTATGCAGATCTTTTTGCTTATATGTGTTCTTGCAAAATATGTATTATTGTTTTAGGTGCATTTATTTCCTCAAAATTTTTATTTTTCACTTTTTCAAAATTCAGAAAATTTGAAAGAATAGTACAGTGAAAGCCCATATACCCTTAATATTGCATTTCTCTGATTACTAATGAATTTTTCAGCATCACTTCATATGTGTGTTAAATGCCTCTTTTGTAAATTGCCTGCTTATATAGTTGGCCCATTTTTCCAGTGAGTTTCCTATCTTTCCTATTGATTTGCTAGAGTTCCTTATGTAGTCTAGCTACTAGTCCCCTGTCAGTTTCAGACATTGCAAATATTCTGTCCCTATTTTAACTTTGTCCGTGTTAGCCTTTTTTGAATAGAAATTGTTGTTTTTAATGCAATCAAATCCATCAAATTTTTGCTCTATGGTTTCTGGTTTGGGAGTTTTATTTAGGAACTAGTTATCTCCTCCCAGGTCACAAAGATATTCTCTTATTTTTTTCTATTAACTTTATAGTTTTATCTTTCACCTTTAGGTTTTAATCCATCTAGAATCCACTCTCATATGTAGTGATAGGTAGGGATGCAATTTTATTTTTTTATACACAGTGAGCCACATTTCCCACCATCAAATACCAAACAATCCTTACTTTTTCATTGATTTGCTGTGCCACCTTTGTCACATATTATAAAACACACATGCACAAGTCTGTTTCAGTTCTTGCATTAATACTGCCTTGCTTTTGATATTTTGTAATATAAGATTTGATAGGGCAAGTACCTCTGCTTTAGTCTTCTTTTAGTATTGTCTTAGCTATATCTCCACATAAATTTTAAAAAGAGTTTATCAAGCTCTTCAGAAATCCGACTGGAATTCTTATTAGGATCACACTAAATTTACAGATTAATTTGAGAGAGTTGACATCATCAAAATAATAACTCATCCAAGAACATGGACTATCTCCTCATTTGTTGAATTCACCTTCTATCTATGTCCTTTATTAAGAGTCGATTTTTCTCTTTGGAATTGTGTGTTTTTACTAATTTAATTCCTAGTTGCTTTGTAGTATTTGTTACTATTGTGAATATTTTATAGTTATTTCTTTTTGAATAGATAATACACATATATTTTGAATATCAAAACAAAATAAAAATTATACTTTGAAAAGTGTCACTCTTGTCCATTTTACCCAATTGCCACTATACACACCCCCAGCAGTTACCACTTTTTTTTTTAATTTCTTATTTATAATTAACATGTGGTGTTATATTAGTTTCAGGTCTAATGATTCAACAATTCTATACATTACTGAGTGTTCATCAAGATAAGTGTACTCCTAATCCCCTCTATTTCACCGTTCCCCCCGGCCACCTCCCCTCTGGCAACCTCCAATTCAGTCTCTGTATTTAAGAATCTGGTATGTTGTTGGTTTTTTTTGGGGGGGGGTCTCTTTTTTTCCTTTGCTCATTTGTTTTGTTTCTTAAATTCCACATGTGAATGAAATCATATGGTATTGTCTTTCTCTGACTTATTTCACTTAACATTATACCATCTAGGTCCATCCATGTTGTTGCAAATGGCAAGATCTCATTCTTTTTATGGCTGCATAGTATTCCGTTATATACAGAATATTTTATATTTAATATTTTTTTTCTTGTATTTAAGTTTACTTTCAACAATCAAGACAGACTCTATGAATGACAAGAGGTTCAAAAAACCCTATATTTTAACATGTTTTTTAAAAAACAAGACATTCTGGGGCGCCTGGGTGGCTCAGTCGTTAAGCGTCTGCCTTTGGCTCAGGTTGTGATCCTGGGGTCCTGGGATCGAGCCCCGCATTGGGCTCCTTGCTCAGCCGGGAGCCTGCTTCTCCCTCTCCCACTCCCCCTGCTTGTGTTCCCTCTCTAGCTGTCTCTCTCTTTCTGTCAAATAAAAAAAATAAAAAACAAAAAACAAAACATACACACTGATCTCTATCTGGTATCTTTGTACAGTCATTTTGGTACACAGATACTGACTTCAAGCTTCTTTTCACCTTAAGAATTGCTTTCTTTTAAGTTCAACAAAGAACATTATGAAATAAGAATTGTATCAAAAAAGGGACAGAAAAGACTGTAAGGAAGGAAGGAAGTAGAGGGAACAAAGGAAGGAAGTAGAGAATGCCTCCTTAATTTTGATTTTTGTATATTGTTTCTTTAATGCATTAAATAGAAAACCCAGTAACTGAACACGCCAACTCCCCTAGAATAAGGAAAGACAAAATTAACAAAGACATGATGGAGATATGTAGGTACATTACAGTCAATCTCCCTCTTCAGAATGTTCTGTTAACCAGATTCTACTGAAAAGTATCACATCAGGGCGCCTGGGTGGCTCAGTTGGTTAAGCGACTGCCTTCGGCTCAGGTCATGATCCTGGAGTCCCGGGATCGAGTCCCGCATCGGGCTCCCTGCTCAGCAGGGAGTCTGCTTCTCCCTCTGACCCTCCTGCCTCTCATGTTCTCTGTCTCTCATTCTCTCTCTCTCAAATAAAAAAAAAAAAAATCTTTAAAAAAAAAAAGTATCACATCACTGAAACATCCCTATGTTCAAAAGCCAGTGATCTATTTGATAAGAAGTTTGATATATGTATATATATATATATCAGTACTATTATTTCATAAAGATATATAGACATAGATCTAGACCACATCTTCTTCATCCATTCATCTATTGATGGATGCTTGGGTTGCTTCCATATTTGGCTATTATAAATAATACTGCAATAAACATAGGGGTACAGGTATCTTTTCAAATTAGTGTTTTCATTTTCCTTGGGTAAATACCCAGTAGTGGAATTACTGGATCATATAATTCTATTTTTAGTTTTTGGAGGAATCTCTATATTGTTTTCCACAGTGGCTGCACCAATTTGCATTCCCACCAATAGTTTTCGAGGATTCCTTTTTGTCCACATCCTCTCCAACACTTGTTATTTCCTGTCTTTTTGATAATAGCCATTCAGACATGTGTGAGGTGATATCTCACTGTGGGTTTTTTTTTTTAAGATTTTATTTATTTGTCAGAGAGACTGAGCAAGCAGGGGGAGCGGCAGGCAGAGGGAGAAGCAGGCTCCCTGCTGAGCAAGGAGCCTGATGCGGGACTCAATCCCAGGACCTTGGGATCATGACCTGAGCCAAAGGCAGACACTTAACTGACTGAGCTACCCAGGCATCCCATCACTGTGGTTTTGATTTGCATTTCCTGATGATTAGTGATGTTGAGCATCTTTTCATAGGTCTGTTGGCCACCTGTATGTCTTCTTTGGAAAAATGTCTTATTCAGGCCCTCTGCCCATTTTTTAATTGTATTGGTTTTTTTCCTTGGTGTTGAGTTGTATAAGTTCTTTATATATTTTGGATATCGACCCTTATCAGATATATCATTTGCAAATGATATTTGCAAATATCATCTACCATTCAGTAGGTTGCCTTTTCACTTTATTGATGGTTTCCTTTGCCATGCAAAAGCTTTTTATTTCAGCATAGTCCCAATAGTTTACTTTTACTTTTGTTTTCCTTATCTAGAAAAATGTTTCTACAGCTGGTGTCCAAGAAATTACTGCCTATGTTTTCTTCTAGGAGTTTTATGGTTTCAGGTCTCACATTTTAGGTCTTTAATTCATTTTGAATTTATTTTTTTGTATGGTGTTAAGAAAGTGGTCCCATTTTATTCTTTTGTATATAGCCGTCCAATTTTCCCAGCACCATTTGTTGAAGAGACTGTGTTTACCCATTATATATTCTTGCCTTCTTTGTCATAGATTAATTGACCATATAATCATGGGTTTATTTCTGGACTCTCTATTCTGTTCCACTGATCTATGTGCCTGTTTGGTTTTTTTTTTTATGATAGTACCATACTGTTTTGATTCAAAGTTACCAGTTTTATTAGTTTATTTTTTATTCTTCCAGTGTTTCTTTATGCAGATACAAACAAACATAAATGTATCTTATTCCATCTCCCCCTTTCTTATGCGTGTATATTCTGTTATACATGTTGCTTATTTCTCTTAATAATACATCCTGGAGGTCTTTCCATATCAGAGCATTAGAGTTTCCTGTACCTAGAAAGTCACTGTATGGAAGCATATAGAGTACTTATTCAAAGTGTTACATTATGTGGATATATAATAGGGTTTTTTTTAATGACTGCAGTCCCCTATTGTGGATGCTTGGGATGTTTTTAGTCCTTTGGTATTACAAATGGTGCCATAATGAATAGACACTTCATACATATGCAGATAATTATGTAGGATAAATTCCAATAATTATATTTGTAATTATGTAAGATACGTTCCAATAATTATATTTGTAGATATTGCCAAAATTTCCCTCCATAGGTATACCATTTCGCACTTACCACCCATGTATGAGTTTATCTGTTTTATTACAGCCTCACCAACAAAGTGTATTGTTAAAGACTTAGATTTTTTACAATGTGATAGGTAAGAAATAGTATCTCATGGTAGTTTTAATTTACATTTCTCTTATTTTGAGTGAGGCTGAGCATCTTTTCATATGTTTAAGGGTCAATTTTACGTCTTTTTCTGTGAATTGTCTATATATATCCTGTATTTTTCTGTTGGATTACTGGCCTTTCCTTGATTTCTAGAATGTTGTTATATATTAGAGAGATTAGACCTTTGTGAATCATGATTTGTCAGTGTTTTTCCTCAGTTTGTTATCCTTTTGACTTTGCTAATGGATTTTTTCCAGGCAAGTTTTATTTTATTTTATGTAAACAAATGTATCTATGTTTTCTTTTATGGATTCTAGATTTTGAGTTGTTGGTGGTGATAGATTGCATTAATGACCCCAATTTCTCATGTGTCTATGTATCCACACCCTTTCATAGTGCCCTGCTTTATTGACTCTGAGTGTGGCCATATAACTTGCTTTAACCAACAGGATAGTTGCAAACTTGATATTAAGAAGAGACTTGAGGGCGCCTGAGTGGCTCAATTGGTTGAGCGACTGCCTTCGGCTCAGGTCATGATCCTGGAGTCCCTGGATTGAGTCCTGCATCGGGCTCCCTGCTCGGCGAGGAGCCTGCTTCTCCCTCTAACCCTCCCCCCTCTCATGTACTCTCTCTCATTCTCGCTCTCTCAAATAAATAAATAAATCTTTAAAAAAAAAAAAAAAAGAAGAGACTTGAAAAAGCTCTTGCACATTCTGTTTCCTCTCTTGGACCCCTGCCACTGCCACAAGAACATACCGAAGCTAACCTTGGAAGGATGTGAGAGACATGTAGAAATGAGCCTAGTCCTCCCAGTTAAGACATCCTATAGTGGCCAATCTCTAGTGAAGCCATTAACTTAGTGCAAACACATGAGCTAGCCCAGTTGAGATCAACAGAGCCTGATCCAGATTGTAGACCCTCCCAAATGACCCAGACTCTAGGTTTTGGTACATAAATATTCATTTTGTCTTTTTACAGAGCATTATTATGGCAATAGTCCCATATCATTGCTCTTCCTTTTTGGAGATATCCTGGCTAAGCTTGCTCGTTATTTTTCCATTTGAACTTTTTTTCAAGATTTTTATTTATTTATTTTTATTTTTATTTTTATTTTTATTTTTTTGAGAGAAAGAGTGTGCATGTGCGTTTGCACACATGAGCCACGGGAGGGGCGGGGGCGGTGGGGGGGGGCGGGGCGGGGAGAGAATCTCAAGCAGACTCCTGCTGAGCACCGAGCTTGAAGCAGGGCTGGATCTAACAACGCTGAGATCGTGACCTGAGCTGAAACCAAGAGTCTGATGCTAAACCGGCTGAGCCATCCAGGCACCCCTCCATTTGAACTTTAATTCAGCTTGTCTAGTTTCAGAAAAAGAGAAAAAATGGTATTTTAAATGAGTTTATACTAAATTTATAAATTAATTTGACATCTTTATAATTCGGAATCTTCTTATTTAATAACATGGAATGCCTTTCCATTTGTTCCTTCAGAGTGTTATAAATGTTTTGTCATAAAGGTTTTGGACATTTCTCATTAAGTTTGTTTCTAGGTATTTGCTATAGACTAAATGTTTGTGTGCCTCCAAAATTCAGATGTTGAAACCTAATCCCCACTGTGATGGTATTTGGAGGTAGGGCTTTTGGAAAGTGATTAAGTCCTGAGGTTGGAGCCCTCATGAGTGAAATTAGCGCCCCAGTGGACACAGCTAGAAGATGGCTGTCTATGAACCAGGAAGCAGCTCTCAACAGAGATTGAATCTGTCTGCCTTGATCTTGGGCTTTTCAGCCTCTAGAACTGTGAGAAATACATTTCTGTTGTTTGTAGGCCACCCAGTCTATGGTATTCTGTTATAGCAGCCACAATGGACTAAGACAGTATTTCACATTTTCTGTTGCTATAATAAATGGAGCCTTCTCTTCCATATATCTTCTTTTTTAAAAAAGATTTTATTTATTTCTGCATCCAATATGGGGCCCAAACTCACAACCCTGAGATCAAGAGTTGCATGCTCTACCAACTGAGCCAGTCAGATGCCCCTCTTCTATATATCTTCTAACTAAATGATTTCTATATATTAATTTTATATCCTCCTACCTTGTTTATAGTAGCTTTTATATTGATTTTCTGGCTGTATAATCTTATCTATAAATAATGATAGCTTTACCTCCTCAATTCCAATTTTATGCTTCTAATTTCTTTTTCTTTTTTAATTACAATGCTTGCTACCTCCAATACAATGTTAAATTATAGTGGAGAGAGTAGACATCCTTGCCTGGTTTCTGATTTTAGCATATAAATGCTGCTAGTGTTTCCTGGTTAAGTGAAATACGGGACTGCTGTATTTGGGGAGATACACACACACAAACACACACACATAATTAAATCATATCAAGGAAGAAACCTTATATTCCTCTTGTTGAATGTTTTTTTTAAATAAAGAATGGGTATTGAATTTTGCCAAATGACTCTTTGGCATCTCTGAAAATGATATGATTTTTCTCCTTAGATTTAATAATATGTTAGATTATATTAATGGATTTTGTAATATTGAATGATTCTTGCTTTCCTGGGATAAACTCCACACAGCCATGGATTCTGTTTGCTAATATTTTATTTAGAATTTTGCATTGCTATTTATAAGTGAATATTGGTCTATATCATTTTCTTTTCTTTTTTTTTGTAGAATCTTTGTCAGATCTTGGTATCAATATTATACTCACTTTATAAAAAGAATTTGAATGTGTTCCTCCTTCATCTAGACTCAGGAAAATAAAAATAGCATTCAAATTACCTGCTTTTTAGTGTTAATAGACTTCCCCTGTGAAAGCATCATAGTCTGGTACCTTTGGGGAAAAGTACCTCTTTATACCTTTCTCTATTTCTTCCATGGAAATTGGCCTATATGGGTTTTTCTCTTTTAGAGTCAAATTAAAGTAAATTATATTTTCCTAGGATGTTTTCCATGTCTTCCAGGTACTTAAACAATTTGCATAGAGTTGGACAAGAAAGTCTTTTATGTTTAAAATGTCCTCTTACTATGGTTATGTCCAACTTTCCATTTCCTAACTTGTATATTTGTGCTTTCTCCTTTTATTCTTTTTCTTTCTTTTTTTTTTTTTTTTTTTTAGAGGAGAGGGAGAAGGGCAGAGGGAGAGAGAGAATCTTAAGCAGGATCCATGCCCAGCACAGAGCCCAATGCAGGGCTCAATCTCATGACCCGGAGATCATGACCTGAGCCAAAACCAAGAGTCAGATGCTTAACCAACTGAGCCACCCAGGGGCCCCAGCTTTCTCCTTTTCTTGATTGTGCTGTTTAATGGCTTACATATTTCTATTTAACAGAATCAGCTCATCTATCTATTAGTTCTATTGTTATCTGTTTTCTAACTTCTTTATTTGAACTTTACTGTTATTTTTCCCCTTCTGTTCTTAATTTTATTATTTTTTCTTCCTCTAACTTTTTGAGTTGGATGCTTATTCATTTAATTTTTCCCTTGTTTTTAAAACAAGTATTTTAAGGCTATGAACTTTGCTTTATCTGTATCCATGGATTCTGACTTTAGTATTTTCATTATCATTGTCTAGAAATTCAGCAGTTTTGATTTGAGTTTCCCTTCTGACCCAAGAGTTGTTTGACAGAGAGATATTACATATTCAGATGGAAGATCCATTTTACAGTGATTTCCAGTTTTATTCAGTGTGATCAATTAACATTGTATTAGTTCTAATTTTTGGAATTTGTTGAGATTTTCTTCTTGGCCTAATATTGATTTTGTTATTTAGTTTTTTTATATTCTTACTGGGTTTTTTGTTTGTTGTTGTTGTTGTTGTTGTTGTTGATTTGATCTGTCCTGGAATGAGAAAGGTGAGTTAAATTTCTCCTATTTTTAGTGTGTTTCAATCTGTTATCTATTTTTCCTTGTATCCCTTAATATCTTAGCTTTATGAAAGCTGCTATGTTATTTGGTATAAAAATAGTCATAACTTTATATGTTCATTGTAAATTGTGGCCTTTTTGCCTCAATTAATGCTTTTTTATAACAAACTTTCTATTTTGGAATAATTTTAGATTTACAGAACAGTTGAAAAGTTAGTGCAAAGTTTCCATATGCCCTTCACCTAGTTGCCCCTCATGTTAATATCTTGTATGACATTTGTCAAAACTAAGTATTGGTACATTGTTATTAACTAAACTCCAGACTTTATTCAGATTTCACCAATTTTTCCACTAATATCCCTTTTATGTTCCGGACCCCAATCCAGAATCCCATATTGCATTTAGTCATCATATCTCCTCCAATCTGTGACACTTCCTCAGTCTATCCTTGTTTTTCATGACCTTGATAGTCAGTTAATGCCTTTGGTTCTGAGTTCCTGACTTGTCTGATAATTAAGATTGCAACCCATGTGTTCTTTAATTGCATTTGCCTGGTATACCTTTGTCTTTTCTGGTATTTTTAACCTTTCTGAATCAATTTCTTTTAATTGATTTTCTTTTTCTTTCTTTCTTTCTTTCTTTCTTTCTTTTTCTTTCTTTCTTTCCATCTTTCTTTCTTCCTTCCTTTCTTTGAGAGAGAAAGCGCACGCACACATGAGACAGGGGAGGAGCAGAGGGAGGGGACAAGCAGACTCTACCCTGAGTGCAGAGCCCATCGCAGGGCTTGATTCCAAGACCTCACCCAAGACCATAACCCTAGCCAAAATCAGGAGTCTGATGCCCAACTGACTGAGCCACCCAGGCACCCCCTTAATTGATTTTCCTGAATACACCATTTGCGTTTTACTCAGTGATCCAATAGAAAAAATGTTTTTCTTTAAACAAATAAGTTAAGACCATTTATATTTATTGATACAAAAGATGTTTGGTGTTAATATTGTCATATTATTTTAAGTTTTATTTTCTTTTTTAGCTCTATGTTCATATATTAAAAGTATTTTACTATGCAGTCTGTTTTGTTTGGTATTTTTGTAGTTACCCTGATATTTAGGAAAGTTTACATTTTGGCTTAGTGACTAATTTTAGGTATCTTATTTTTAATTACATTTTTTTCTACTCGTTTGCTGCTAATGTAAAAAAATACTGTTCCTAGAAGAGAACACAGGCAGTAATTTCTTTGACATCAGCCTTAGCAACATTTTTCTAGATATATCTCCTAAGACAAGCAAAATTAAACTGTTGGGACTATACCAAAATAAAATGCTTTTGCACAGGAAAGGAAACCATCAACGAAACAAAAAGATGACCTATTGAATGGGAGAAGATATTTACAAATGATATATCAAATGATAAGGGGTTAATATTCAAATATATAAAGAACTTATACCAGACCTATGAAAAGATGCTCAACATCACTCATTATCAGGGAAATGCAAATCAAAACCACTGTGAGATATCACCTCACACCTGTCAGAATGGCTATTATCAAAAAGACAAGAAATAACAAGTGTGGAGAGGATGTGGAGAAAAAGGAATCCTCGTGCACTATTGGTGGGAATGCAAATTGGTGCAGCCACTGTGGAAAACAGTATAGAGGAATCCATCAAAATACTAGAGGAGAACACAGGTAGCAACCTCTTTTGACACTGGCCACAGCAATTTTTTGCTAGACACATCTCCAAAAGCAAGAGAAACAAAAGCAAAAATGACTACTGGGACTTGATCAAGATAAAAAGCTTTTGCACAGGGGCGCCTGGGTGGCTCAGTTGGTAAAGCAGCTGCCTTCAGCTCGGGTCATGATCCCAGGGTCCTGGGATCGAGCCCCACGTCGGGCCCCCTGCTCAGCAGAGAGCCTGCTTCTCCCTCTCCCTCTGCCTGCCACTCTGCCTACTTGTGCTCTCTATCTGTCAAATAAATAAATAAAATCTTAAAAAAAAAAAAAAGCTTTTGCACAGCAAAGGAAACAGTCAACAAAACTAAAAGGCAGCCTGTGGAATGGGAAAAGATATTTGCAAATGTCTTATCAGATAGAGGGCTAGTGTCCAAAATCTATTAAGAACTTAAAAAACTCAACACCCAAAAAAACACAAAAAATCCAGTCAAGAAATGAGCAAAAGACATGAACAGACATTTCTCCAAAGAAGACATACGAATGGCCAACTGACACATGAGAAAATGCTCCACATTATTTGGCATCAGAGAAATACAAATCAAAACTACAATGAGATACCACCTCACACCAGTCAGAATGGCTAAAATTAACAACTCGGGAAGCAATAGGTGTTGGTGAGGATGCAGAGAAAGGGGAACCCTCTTACACTGTTGGTGCGAATGCAAACTAGTACAGCAACTCTGGAAAACAGTATGGAGGTTCTTCAGAAAGTTAAAAATAGAGCTACCCTATGACCCAGCAATTGCACTTCTAGGTATTTATCCAAAGGATACAGACAGTGATTTGAAGGGGCACCTGCACCCCAATGTTTATAGCAGCAATGTCCACAATAGCCAAACTATGGAAGGAGCCCAGATGTCCATAGATAGATGAATGGATAAAGAAGATGTGGTACACACACACACACACACACAAACACACACACAATGAGATACTACTCAGCCATCAGGAAGAATGAAATCTTGCTATTTGCAACGACGTGGATGGAACTAGAGGGTATTATGCTAAGCGAAATAAGTCAGTCAGAGAAAGATAAATATCACATGATTTCACTCATATGTGGAATTTAAGAAATAAAACAGATGAACATAGGAGAAGGGAAAAAATAAGAAAATAAGATGAAAACAGATGGAGGCAAACCATAAGAGATTCTTTTTTTTTTTTTTTTTTTTAAAGATTTTTTTTTTTTTAATTTATTTATTTGAGAGAGACAATGAGATAGAGAGAGCATGAGAGGGGGGAGAGCCAGAGGAAGAAGCAGGCTCCCTGCCGAGCAGGGAGCCTGATGCGGGACTCGATCCCGGGACTCCGGGATCACGACCTGAGCCGAAGGCAGTCGCTTAACCAACTGAGCCACCCAGGCGCCCAAGAGATTCTTAACTATAGGAAAAAAACTGAGGGCTGCTGGAGGGGAGGTGGGTGGGGGGATGGGGTAACTGGATGTAGAGCATTAAGGAGGGCACTTGATGTAATGAGCACTGTGTATTATATGCAACTGATGTATCACTAAACTCTACCCCTGAAACTAATACACTATATGTTAAATTGATTTTAAATTTAAAAAATTAAAAATAAACTGCCATATGATCCAGTAATTCCACTACTGGGTATTTACCCAAAGAAAGTGAGAACAGTAATCCAAAAACATATATGCACCCCTGTGTTTACTGCAGCATTATTTACTATAGCCAAGATACAGAAGCAACCTAAGTATCTATCAATAGGTGAATGCATAAGGAAGATGTGGTATATATACACAATGGAATATCACACAGCCAAAAAAAAAGAATGAGATTGTGCCATTTGAGACAACATGGATGGACCTAGAGAGTATTATGCTAAGTGAAATAAGTCAGACAAAGACAAATACCAAATAATTCCACTCATAAGTGGAATCTAAAAAATGAATAAACAAAAAGCAGAATCAGACCTATAAATACGGAGAACAAACTGATGGTTGCCAGAGGGGAAGGGGTTGGAGTGAGGCAAAATGGGTGAAGGGGAGTGGGGTATACAGGCTTCTAGTTATGGAATGAACAGGTCAGGGGAATAAAAGGCACAGCAGAAGGAATACAGTTGAGCTGGGTGGCTCAGTCTGTTGAGTATCTGATGCTTGATCTCGGCTCAGCTCTTGATCTCAGCTCAGCTCTTGATCTCATGGTCTTGAGTTCAAGTCCCATGCTGGGCTCTGCACTGGGCATGGAGCCTAATTAAAAAAATAAAAAGAAAAGAAAAAGGAATACAGTCAATGATATTGTTATAGCAATGTAATGGGACAGAGGGTAGCTATCTATACTTGTGGTGAACATAGCATAATCTATAAACTTGTCAAATTACTAAATTGTACACCTGAAACTAATGTAACACTGTGTGTAACTATACTCAAATAAAAAATGGGGAAAAAAAGAAATACTATTGATTTTTATAAGTTGGTTTTGTATCTGGCCTCCTCACAAATGTTTTTTTTTAATTCTAATAGTATGTCTGTTGAATCTGTTGGTTTTATTTCTTCTCTTCCAATCCTTATACAGCTTACTTCTTTTCTCCCATTATAGTATTGACCAAGACTTCCAGTTCTATGTTAAACAGTAGCTGGTGAGAGTAAATATCTAGTCTTATCCTTGATCTTCAAGGAAATGCATCTTAAGTTTCTCCATTTAGTATAAAATATGTTGTAAGGTTTTGGTATGTAACCTTCACCAAGTTAAATTTGCCTTCTGGGGTACCTGGCTGGCTCAGTTGGTAGAGCATGTGACTCTTGATCTCAGGTTCATGAGTTCAAGCCCCAAGTTGGGCATAGAGCTTACTTAAAGAAAAAAAAAAAAGAAATTTGCCTTCTATAGCTAGTTTTCATCATAAGTGAGAAGGTAACAACTTATTCTACATTAATTGGGATAATCATACGAGTATTCTCCTTTAGTCTGTTAATGTGGCAAATTACATCAATAGATTTTCTGAGGTTGAACGAATTCTCTTTGCATTCTTGGAATAAACTTGATCTGATTGTGATGTATTATTTAACATACTGTTGGATGCAATTAGCTAATATTTTATTTAGGATCTGTGCATCTATATTCATAATTGAAATGAGCCTATAATTTTCTTTTCTTTTCTTATCCTTGTCTAGCTTTAGACTCAAGGTTTGAAGATTGTACTAAACTAATAAAATGAGCTGGGCAGCTTTCTCTCCTTTTCTATTTTCTGGAATAACTTGTATAAGAAGAAAAGTAACTATTCCTTGTGTGTCTGGCACAATACACCTGTAAACTTATCTAGGCCTGGATTTGGGGGAAAGGGATGATGTCCTTGCATACCATTTCAGTTTCATTAATACTTAGTGGTCTATTCAAGTTCTTTACTTCTTGCTATTCCATTTTTGCCATTTTATATTTTTCTAGGAATTAAATTTTATCTAGATTTTCTAATTATTTCTGCCTAGTTCCTAATAATCAGGTTTCTGGCTTGACTGCCTAGTGCCTTCATAGACAGGGGCCCTGAAGGAGCAGCATATCTGTCATTTGGGGCCAGAGGGAGTTTGGATACCTTTGTACTTCCAGCAAAGCAATGGCTCTGTGTGCTTTGGAAATTCGTGATTGTATATGAATGTGTGCACTTTTATAAATGTGTGTGTTTACACCTGATGCTCTAGTGTGTTTCTATTATATGAAAATTGACGAAAAGAAAATTTTTCAAAGGGAAATTAGCTGGATGATTCTCTGTGTAGCTATTTTTCTGTGTCTATTTCTGAGCTGTGAGGGGGTAATTCCATGGGTCTCTCAGTGTCTCTGTGTATGTCTGCATCTCTGCCAGTGTTGATTCATTCTGGGTGTTTTTCAATGTCTCAGAATATCTGCAGCTATGAGGGTTCGTGATTCTATGTACATCTTTATGTCTCTGCAAAAGTCTTGTCTCTAAGTGTGGGGGGTGCAGATTCTGTATGCATCTCTGTGTTTCACTGTAGAAATATATGCATGGAGTGCACATGCTACGTGGCAAGTTCAGACTCTCCAAGTCTGGAAGAAACATTACAACAGGAAATGCTCTGGATTCCAGCTTCCGGATGGAATTTCACTCAGAAAAATACCCCTTCCTGGTCCTCCCAATAACTGCAGCATTCTTTGTCTTTTTTCAAGAGGCTGGGTTGAGGGGGTTTATGCTAACCTTGACCTCAGAGGCCTTGTCTTTCAGGAGGATTTGGCAGAGCCATGAAATTCCACACCCTGCCACTTGCCTCTTGCCAGGCCTACTTCTTCCTCCTAAAGCCTTTTATAGTTCCACATTATCTACCAGACCAATTCTGATCCAAATTCTCCAGCGAGGCCAGGGGAAGACACAGGGAGATGAGGAGAAACAAACAGAATAAGAGTTTTTAGAGTAAATAGATAAAGATTCAATTTGGCAAGAGAGGAACAGATAAAGAAATGATAACAGGAGATAATGAGACAGAGACAAAGAAATAGGGCCTGAAAGGTGGGAGCAAATAATTAGAAATGGGGATAAATAAATAAGGATGGGGACAGAGAGATGGAGTAGGCAGGCTGCAAAAAGAGGGACAGAAATGAGGCAGGAAAGTAGGGGAGAGAGAGAGATGAGGTCAGAGAGGCAGCTACATAAAAGATGAGGAGAGAGAGGGACACAGAGATGGTAACAGCCAGGTATATAGGAAGGGGGTGTTTGGATGAGATAAACCAAGACAGAAAGAGATAGGGATGAAGATGAGTAGAGAGGTTGATGATGTAGCAGCTGACATTTTTGAGCATTTGTTATGTCTGAGGCATGGCCCTACAAACTGTGCGTGTGCTAGTTCATTTAATGCTCACAGTAATGCTGTGAAGCAGGTACTATTATCAACCCTATTTTACAGATGAGGACACTGAGGCACAGCAAGTCAGAGGCACAACTAAGATTTGAATCCAAACTAGAAATCTAGCACCAGTGACTGTACTCCTGACTACTGTCAGTGACAAAGAGAGACAGAGGAATGGGGAACTGGGGACAAGTTAGCAAACAGAAACAGATGAAACCTGCATAGGGACAGAGAGATGGAGACAAAAGACAGGCACATGAGGAGAGCAACCCAATAAGAGAGATGGTAAGAGATAGAAAAGGGGTGATAGATGAGGAGAGAATCATATAGGGAAACGAGGGCAAAAAGACCTACATAGAGGGGTAAGAGAGACAGAGACAAAGAGTATAAATATTACAGGGAGGAGGGGAGATGAAAGAATGGAACAGAAAGGTGAGAATAGAGAAAGATAGGAGGGGAAGAGAGACAGATGAATGCAGCAGTACAAACAGAAAGAGGAGAACTGGGAAACAACCAGAGAGAAGTAGGGACAGGGTGATGGAGACAGAAAGGCAGACAGTAAAGAGGCCAAGGAGCCAAAGGAAACTGAAAGAGAAATAGAAAAGACAGAAATTCTGGAACACAGAGAAACTCAGAAACAGATGAGGTAGAGCAATGTGGTATTATATATATGAGGACAGAGACCCAGACCAAGATGAGAACCATAAGTTAGATAGGGATGGGATGGAGACAAGGCAATCCTCAACATATGCAATATAAAAAGAATGGAGTAAAAAGAGAAGAGAGATGAAAAGAGAATAGAAGAGACAGGGAAGAGAAACCACCAGAGAGATGTAAACAGAGAGACAAGAGAAAGCAAAATGTAGACCGAGATGGGGGGTGTCTGAGAGGTGGTCAACAGTGATGGTGAACTTGGTGGGAGAGACAGTCAAAAATAAGAAAGAGAAATAGAGACAAAGATAAGGTCATCTTGATTCGACAACCTACAAGTCTCTTGGATATATCAGGGCTGGCACTGGGCAGTGTGGTACCCACTAGACTATGAGCTTAGGAAGACAAAGCCCTGGCCTTTGTTATTCACTACTGTATCCTCTACCCACAATATAGTCCCAATCATATGGGGGACTACTGTTTGTTAAATATTAGGTCCCAGAAAATGTGCATGCATTGCATGGATTTTGTCATTGAATCCTTACAACTCTGACGTAGTAGGTATTGTTATCATCATTCCCAGTTTATAGATGGGGAAACTGATACCCAGAGTGATGAGTAACTTGGCCAAGGTCACACAGAGGAACTAGGAGTGAAGCTCAAGCCGGATCCAATGGCAAAAGTATTTCATGAACCAAGGATTAGGATGAGTCTTGCCCTGACCATGTACTTGAGGTGCAAACAAATTCTAGTCTGCCTGATTCTAAGGTCTACACGTTTGACCACCATGACACACTGCTTCAGTGAAGGCTTGCTGACACTGATGGAAGCCTGCTAAGCCAAGGTGCACATGTCCTGACACCTCACCCTCTGGAGCTCCCTCCATCCAGTGAAGAAGGCTAACCTGCCTAGCTCAGAGAAACTTGAAAAAGTCTTATGAGTGGCAGTAATAAACTTCTGTGGAAGAACCCCAGCCTGGGGCAATCAGAGAATGAATGCTTCCTGGAGGAGGAGGTAGTTCAAAGAGGCCAGAAGCAGATTTACACAGAAGTCAGTGAAGGTTCAGGACCCCTTATTTGCACAGGTCCCTTCAAAGGCCCTGCTTAACAGTGAAAAATCAAAGAGTACTAAGGATTTGTTACTTTTCAAGAAAATTGAAATGCCCTAACATCTTACAGCTCATATATGAAGGAAACCAAACAGAAGTTTTCCCAAATTTGACAAGTCCTAAAAATGTACATTATTGTGAAGCTGAAACTTTTTAAACTATCAATAGTAAAAAAACAAATTTCTATCGACCATGCTATTAAGAAAGTCTAATATTTTTATTCTTTCTGCAGAAAATGGCCTTACCTCATGCTTCAGTGACAAGATTGAAGCCATTGGACATCAGGAATGGTTACTGGGCCCTCATTTTCCCACCGCCAAATCTCTAAACCTCCCAGTAACTGTGTTCATCCTTGTCTTGTTCCTAACCAGTTACAATGAGGGGCCTGAAGACCTCTCCTCCTCTTGTCTCAGATCCCAACCCCTCCTTTCTCTTCTTCTTCTGCATCTTGTCCTCTCCCTCTCTACTGGATCATTCCCAGCAGCAAATGAGCATAGTCTACTATCTCCTATCTTTTAAAAAAATCATTCTTTGACCCTCCTCCTACCATCACCTTATCTCTCTGGGCTCTGTTCCCATTCACAGCCAAGTTTCTCAGTGGAATTGCCTATACACCTAGCTCTACTTCAATGGGGATGAG